CTTTCTTGCTTCCTTTTCAACTGCGGGTGATAATTTCTGTATGTATCCTTAAATGGTTATGGAGAAATTGATTGGGAATGACATTGCCATCAAATCTGAAGCAGGTAACCTTTAATAGCAACTTTAAAGATATTGATAGATTAATGTGTATGCTTAAAATCAGCTGCGTGTCGTAGTATTCTATCAATTAAACTCGAAATAAGTTACAATTCGGCCACCGATGTGGTTCTTTAAAAATACAATAAAGCAAAGAAATTGTGGGTTCCTTGTTTGAAGCATTCAATTCAAAATGGAATATTGGAAATGACAACTTGTAGGAAATGCAGGGTAATCTTTCTGAACTAAAAGCAGGGTCATCAAGGGTGCGATGATGCAACTGAAATGATAGTTTTCTAAAGCCTTGTCCCTGCCCAAGCAAATCAAACAAGGGCACAAAGCATCATACAATATTGTTTGATAGAACCTGCTTTATCGGTGTAGCAATCATGTTTTAATGTGTTCGGAGATGTTTAACAATGTTTGCAGGGGCGTAAATAACAGGGGCGGGGGTTCGGGTTCTGTCACCGAATCTTCGACAATCTCAATTTGGGTTGTGACACTCAATCTTCGACTGTTCGGTGGGCAAGAAGATCTTATAATACAGCACTGATCTAGTATTTATATCATGTTCCTGTTTTCCCAATTGTGTCAACTCTTTGCTCGACAAAGTGCATCCTTTTTTCCCTTTATCGATTTTCCCTCGGGACTTTCATCAATGTATAATACCTTCCCAATGCCAACTTTATTCATGAGTGATTGATTCAAGCGATTCAATGTCTTGATTTGCTTCGTTTGTTGTTCAGCGTTGAAAAACAAAAGGGAACTGGTGGGACCCATCGTAGAGTGTGGGCCTACATAAGATTAGAAATAGCTATTTCCAAGATAAGTTATTGGATGTAAATTTAGGTTGAAAAACAGACCAGAATTGTAACTTCAGAATTTTCCCAACGTTCAATGTAATCAAAGACGTTTAATGTCGTGCTACACGTCAAATGGACCTAACAGTCAATGCGCTGTATGTTCTGCTTTACTGATAACCTGGCCAATTGAAGATAGAGTTAGGTAGATAAGTTTGTAAAAAGTACTTTTTGACATCAGTTACCCCGTTTAACATTCACGTCGGTTCCTTTCGATGTTTCGGGGTGAACGGTGGGTCCCACGGTTCTAGAGCCTAATCAAATTTGGCGGGCCTCGGTTCTCATGTGGGTCAAACAATAAGAAGCTCGATCCAGTCTTCTATAGAGATCAGTGATTTGTTCCCCCTGTGCGAAAAAACCTGTGGCTAAAAAGCATATTCGATGTCGATATCCATAGCTGGAAGGTGTGGACGATTTGGTATAATTACATAATAGAATACGGATGCGAAATAGAATCCAAGGTCTAGTATTGTGGGACTAGACATTCCTTCTCGAAAAAAATTCAAGCAAGTTAAAACCGAAGTTGCAAGAAGAGGATCGAGGCCGAGGGGCAAATCACTGCTTAAAATCACGAACACTCTCAAGAATAATCACACTTTAATCATAAACTAATCACATTAATAAAACAATCAAATCAATCATAAAGTATAACATTAATTACAAAAGTTACTTAAGACAAATATCAGAATTCTTGCCCACTTTTATCCGGATATGTTATTGAAAAATTCAGTATTAAGAATTTCTCTTTGACACTTTTCGAATCTTTTCATAAAACCGTTGGAAAAATCTGCAAACACACGCTCGAGAACAACAGTCTTTTATAAGTAACCCTGCAATGGAGCAAAAATTAAGGCCTCCTTATGATGCCGGGGTCACTGTAACAACCATTGCTGTTTTTGTTGCCAAAATGCCACTGAAGTTGATCTGACCGAAAACCAGGCCTGATAGCAGTCATTTTTTACCCATTGCTACAGGGGCGGATCCAGACAGTTCCGGATTTCGCAGTTGCAACTGTTACATTCATGGGAAATGATTTATGTCAGATTCTTGTAATTTCCACAGATAAAGTTTGATAATCAAGTTCAATATTTCTGGAACTTGTAATTTTTCATTCTGGTAAATTTGTCTGGAATGACAGTATAATTTCCCAATAGTGACATCACTTGCAAGGGCAGAGAACAGGGCACATGCATTTGTCTTAATGTCTTTCACAAGGTGTTTAATAACTGTTCACTGTTTTTTCATTCCGGGCTGTTGGCAGGCATGTTGCTAGTGCTATTGTTCAGGAAAGATAGCTTTTTTGATGCATATTCAAATTTTTATGATGAAAGTTGATGGCCCACAGAAAAGAGCACATGCATTTTTCTTAATGTCTCGTTCATAGTGATCAACATCTTTTCACCGTTCTTCACTTCAGGCTACTGTCACCCTGCACCCATGATCTAGAAAGCTTATAATATTGATTTAATATCTTGCTTATGCTGCTGCTCAGAAAAATAGCTAGCTCTGTTTTTAGTTGTAAATGTTATTAAACTTTTGCACCTTTTTCGTTTGCAAATCTGCAACGGTCAAATTTTTTTCTGGATCCATCCCTGTGCTGAACTGCTAATTTTTAAATTTTATATAGTATGTTGCAAGATTGTTGACAACGTTTATTAAGCATGAAATTATTTGAAAGCACTTTTGAATCTATGATTCAGTTTCTATAAAATCAAAAATTGATAAAAAAATTAATCACTTTTATCACTGAAAATCAAAATAATCACACACAAAATTGATTTAATCACAAGTCAATCACTAGTGATTATTAATCTCGTACACCAGTTACAAGAGTGATTTGTCCTTCGATCAAAGCCATGCTGAGCGGAGCTAAATTGTGACATCTTTTTTAAAGTGTGGGCAAATTATTAACATTTTACTAATCTTATTAGAATCTTTTCGCAGAATTTATAGACCAATAACACACAGGGCCATGACGGGGTAAAGCAACCCTAAACCAGTCAAAATTTTGGCTAGATCTGCGCCTGATTTTCCTACTAGGTAATAGGGTAATAGTATACTTCGTAACAAAGAAAGGTCATTGGCCTTGAAGTTCACGCTAATAGACCATGTTTTTCAAAATTGTTTGGCTTTTCCCATAAGAACAGGACTGTTTACTTTGAAACTACACGATCTCAGCCTTGCAGAACTGCTTAGGTAGAATAACCACACGAAAACGAGATAGCTGCTATAGCTAACCAGTGTAGTTTCATCATAATACAGTTACATATACTTGTGCTCATGTTACATCAAGCTGTGTAATGAAATATAACAATCATATATTATTACAAGTTGCAAGATTTTTATACGTGACAATTCATTTTAAGCAAAAGACAGTGTATACAGGGCCGTCACTAGCGGGGAGAAGGGGTGCGAGAGGGGGGGGGAAGGAGGGCGGCTCCCCTAGAGAATTATTGTCAGCAAATTTTCGAAAAGTAAAGTTTGTCGGATTTTGTTTTCAAAGTTTTGCTAGCTTTTGCAAACAGTGGCGAAGAGATAGGATAAGACCGAAAACGTATCACACAAAAGCCGTCAGCAATTCAAAATAGGTACAGACAGGAATATGGGAGTCGGGGTGGGCAAATGTGTCCCGAAAATTTCAAATGACTCCCTGTCGGAAGCCGGGGTGCTAGAACCTAGCAGACAAGTGTCGGAATATCCAGGGCCATCTAACTCCCACCTAACGTTTGTGGAAGGGTTAATGTTTGCTGAAAAACACTGCACGATGATCCTGGAGGAACAGAAGCCCCAGTGAGCAGGGCCGCAGAGAGGAGGGGCAAGGGGGCAAAGTGCCCCAGGGCTTCGAGGTCTAGGAGTCCTCATAAAGTGATCTACTCCATTTTAAGAATGCAATTAATAAAATGTAGCAAACGTAGGCCTAAAAATAGTAAAGCTTTCTAAACGATTGCAAGAAACGATTGGAAGAAATATTTTGAAATGCACTTTAAGATGATCTAAAGGGCGTGGTCTCAAAAATTTATGTTCCTTCCGCTCGCAGGGGGCTTTTTTTGGCTTTGCCCCAAGGCATCCGAAACCTCTCGGCGGTCTTGCCCGTAAAATCTGCTTATACAAACTAAGGTTCTATTAAAACGTGCTGAACTATTTGAAAAAATGAGGGCATCTCATTGCTGAAAACTTGACTTTCAAATAAAATCAAAGAAGGTAGTACTCTCAGATACTCGGGGCAAATAAAATTACAGCGAGAAAATCGAAGCAATGATTGACTGACGAGAACATACTCTTTGATGAACAAAATCAACTGCGTCAAAATGCCAGACCCAAAAATTGATAAAAATTAGGCCAGGCCCAGTTTTTCCGCAAATTTGTGACTGGCGCAGTTTTTACAACAATGACCTAGGTTTGCTTCCATATATATGTAAGTATATAGCTGAGTGGAATATGTTTTTGCAACTAGTATGCAATCCATGTAATATGCAATTTGATCCTAGGCCACACTTCTAGGCTAGTATGTTTTTATTTGCTAGAAGCAAATGAAATTTTTTCGAAGAGAAAAAACTCAATACAATCTTGCTTCTTCTTCTATTTATTGATAAGGTGCAATAATTAAGGAACCTGAAAGCTGCAAATCGCAATATTTTACGCTAACCACTCCGTTTGAAGTTCGTAAACCTCAAGCTCACATACTTGAAGATATTCAAACCTATTCAAATAAACACTAACGTAACGACCCATCAGGACCTGTGGACAATCGAACTTTTTCAATTCACCACTTGCCAAATTTCCATTTTTTACGCAAAGCGCATTGTTTCGTCCGCCATTTGAACTATCATCCCCAACACTGACATCGAATGGATTGATTTTCAATTGACCCCAAGTTGTGCCACTTCTTATTCGGACACTTGTGATAGCAGCTTGCCTTGTAAGGTCCACTTGCCACCAGGGTACTATGTCATATTGTGTGAAACTGCACCTCTGCCATTCCCCAGTTCTGTCACCGTCATTTCCAAAGCTGGCAACAAATGTAATTCCATTTGCGGTGTGAGTTGATGAATGCGAGGACGGCTTTTTATATGCCAAATTCTCCGCTGTTAACAAAATTATGGTCAGATTAAGAACATTGAATCTTAGTTTAAAAATTCATTCGATTCATGTTGATAGAAAAAACACATCTCACACCTGTTATTGGTGGATATATTTTGTTAATGTATGCTAACTGTTACAGACTACTAATCAATCACAAGAAGATCTGCATCCTTTTATCAACGACAAAAATTATTTATATATAAACTTTATGCCATATTATTAATAATAGTATTGAAGCTCTTTTAAGTCTTTTAAGGTTTAGATCAGTAATCACTTTTTTTACTTTTTGTTGCCTTAGGTTTTGGTTTCAATCGACGGTTTTTTAAGACGATTTGCATGTACATCAATTGTAAAAGATAATTTTGAGCTTACATGCCAAATCCTGTTTTTTAAGTCAAATCATGTTTTTTAAGTCAAATCGCTCAAAACAGCAGGAATCTGCCTTATTAATCAAACACTTTTATAACATTGTTTATTTTAAACACAACTGTGAAATTACTACATTCTGTGATATTTTACATAACGTGATATAATATACAATGTATGACATGATACAATTTTAAATGAAATTTTCGAGTTACAAAGATTTTTATGCAACTGATTTTATGTTGAATGCTATCGGATGATTTCGATTTTTACTCAGACAACATTGAGTCTTTTAAAGAAAATTTTTGGACTAAAATCTGTTTTAAGAAATTCTCACACCTTAAAGACATGTTTAGTTACAAATGTATGTCAGTCAAGGAAAAAGAAGTTTATACAAAATAAACTTAATTCTGAGACATTTTTTTTGACCTAAAAAAGTCTTTTTCATTTGATTCTAAATAAGAACTTCATCTGATTTTAGCTACGATATAATGCTGCCAGCTTGGAATAAATCGATAAATGCAGTTAAGTCCGTTTTATTAATTAAGAATAATTTTGAAGAATAATTTGTAGAAATCTTTCTTCAAATATTATTTGTCGTCTTGATATAATCTCAATAAAACATTTGAAGTATGATCTTGGTATGATATCAATAGAAAAATGTTCAAAGGTCAATGAATTTATTTTTGAACCATGTATAATTGGGGTTGCCATACCTATCAAGCTTTTTTCAGCCGGGGTTGTCATGAGATTATTGGCAAATTGATATCCAATCGTTGGCAGGTTACTATTTGTAAGTTGCATATGAGAGCGAAGATAAGTAGTTATTGTTGAATGGTAGTGTATATAGAAGAGATTGAGAAGTCCTTACTGCCCCTCCAGAAAATTAGAAAAAACATTGCCATTTGTATTTTGCCAAATGCATATGAAATATTTGAGTGGAGAGTTATAGCAAGAAAGCCGTTCAAGCTACCTGTTTTCAAAAGATGGTCATTGGAAAGATAAAAAAAACAACTTAAAATTTCAATTTTATTAATAATTAAACAGAAATTTAAAAAAGGGAAAATTTTTCCATGCTTCAACTCAAGAATAATTATATGAAAAAAAAGATTAACAAATACCTCGTTTCTTTGACCAAATAATGAGGTTGGATCTTTCGGCCGGGATATCTTGCTCATCTTTAAATTTATAAAAATAGTGGTTCTTAACATCCTTAGCAACGTAATAACATGTCTTTTCCATGCTGCATTGATGAAAGGTCTTATGAAACATGCTTGTTTTTATTTGTGTTGGGTTGTGTATTTCTTCGAAAACGGATTTGCTTGTACTTTGACTCTCGTCTGATTTGATTGAAGCAAAGTAAAACATTGAAAGAAGCAACGTCAAGAGAATAAAAACTCCCATTTTGGATAATAGATGAATTGAAACTTTCCCTGGAAAGAAAAATTTATTGCTTTTCAATTTGTTTATTAAACAGGTATAATATTGGTTATTTATAATTTTTTATAAATCCGGACACCTGCGCACGCAAATAGCAGATATATACGACAATAACAAAATAAAAACTTATTTTCATTTTGTCTGATTCCCTAATAAGAACTAAAGGTTTTTTATGTCCAGATGCGGACTTTTATATTTGATCCGCATTCAGTGTACTTTACATTTAGAAAAACTAACTTTTTTACAACTATTTGATTGTTGATATTTAAAAATCTATAACCTAGGTGCAACGATGGCTTAGTGGTTAGGGTCGCGGACGACAAATCCAGGGGTCTGGGTTTCGAGTCCCTGACGTGATTAAACTATCGCCCAGAGTGGGGGAAGTCACCAGGTTAATTTTTCAATCTATTTTACGAATATCAGAAATTTTTTGTAAAGACTCTTGGGAAATAAACTGGTCGAGTGTAAAAGCAAGAGTTGATAAAATATGTACGACCAAGTGTGTTGCTTACCGGGCAGAATGAGTCTGGGTTGCAAGATTGGATTCACAAGAGAAGGCCAGACTGGCGAGCAACTCAGATCAAACTGCTCATGAAAAGGCCTATGACGCTATTCATTATTCTATTTACGCGTCTTTGAAAAGAAGGGTTCAAACTCTCCTGATTTTGGCGGGAGCCTCCCGTTTTGAGAGTTCTTCTCCCGTTCTCCCGAGTTGAAGCCTAATCTCCCGCTTTCGGTAATTTTTATTCATCTGTTAAAAATCTAATTTTGAAATATATTGAGCAAATGAAGAAGATCTACATAAGTCTGTTAAGCCTGTCCACGTATCTACCAAATCTTTATTTCTTTTCTTTATATTAATCTTTCTTAATATTTGTTCCAGGTTATCAGAAAAACCATTAGCAAATTAGGGTAAAATGGTCCTCAGAATATTTTACCATTGTCAAGACTGAAGGTGGCGTTCTCTCATCATTTGGACCATTTATTTTTGGGCTGTCGGTGTACCAATCGCAAAGGCGGCCATAAAAAAGCCCCAACCGTTTCAGAGAGGGTTGAGAAAAAAAACAACGGCCTTCTTCCGCCGACTAGCAATACCTTGCTCATGCAAAAAATGCAAGCCATGCAGCCATTAACTTTTTTTTCTTTCTTTATTTAAAGTTGGTACAATCTCTAGCTATACATACAAGCTAATTAAAACCAACTAATTTAAATTACCAACGCTAAATATAATATAAATCAAATATAACCGATGTTGATAACATATTCCTTGCCAAGATTACAAGTACAATTAAACGATGTAAATTCTGAGATTTTTTTCTTGAATATTGATAAAGTAGGGGAGTACTTTATCTCATTTCGAATTGAGTTCCATTTTTGGCTACATCTGTATGATACGGTATTAAATCCATATTCTTTGTAATGTGGCTCCGCTGTTTTGAATTGGGAGTTTCTTAAGTAATATGGGCATTCATTTATGGAAAATATTTCATCCATAAAAAGTGGATTCAATCCGTTAAATGTTTTGTAAATTTCTATCGCAAGATATTGTAAATTTTTCTTATGAGCAGTTATTGTTTTATTCTTTATTAAAAATTGTTCAAAAGTTGATTCATAATCATCATGAGCTATTCCCATTGCTCTTTCATGAATCCGGTTTATTCGATTATTACTTTTTCTACTGCAAAACATCCAAAGAAGAGAACAATAATTAAAATATGATAACATGAACGTTTTCATTAAAATAATTCGCTTAGATTTGTCCATATACGAAGCAATCCTGGCTAGAGCGTTTACCTTTCTCCCAGCTTCTTTACAAAAAACTTTAATATGTTCTTCTAATCTAAGTTGATGGTCTAGTGTTAATCTCAAAAGTTTAACAATCTTACTTTCTATTATAGTAGAACCATTTATTTGAATTTTAGATTGCTCTAAATTGGATCGATTTGCTTTGAATGTTATAAGCTTGCTTTTATCGCCATTGAGCACCAAAAAATTTTCATAAAACCATTAATTAAGAATAGCGGCTTCCGATTTTAAGTCGTCAGTTAGTTCATTCATATCGGTACTTGACAGCCAAATTGTATTATCGTCTGCATAGATGCATAAGTTGCTTTTGTTCAAATGCCGAAAAATATCATTTATGTAAATATTGAAAAGCAAAGGGCCTAAGATCGATCCTTGAGGAATTCCTTGCTTTGTATCAATCCAATCACTAAAATCTGAGTTTATTTTTACTCGTTGTACTCTTTTATCTAGATAACTATACATAAATTCCATTGCGTTGTCGCTGAAGCCATAAGATTTCAATTTGGCTAGTAGAAGTATATGGGGTAAACAATCAAATGCTTTTATTAAATCCATGAGCACTGCACCAGCCACATCTTTTTTATCAAGGCACTTTTTCAGACCTTCAAAAAGTCGTAATAAAGCATATTGTGTGCTATAACCTTTTCTGAATCCACAAAGGGAACAATTTAACAATGATGTAATTGTAGATTTGATTGAATATTATTCTCTCAAATACCTTTGAAGCTGAGGGGAGCACATTTATTGGTCTATAAATCTCTTTACTAGTTGAATCTCCTTTTTTGAAAATAGGGCACACATTAGCCATTTTCATAAGAAAGGGAAACGTTTTATCAGAAATAGATCGATTGAATATTTCAGCTAGTGGTCCAGAGACAACGTCTATTGCCATTCTCCTGTTGATTTGTCTTCCTTTAGGTTGTAAATTATCTCTCTTACCTCCTTGGAAGTTACATTTTCAAAGTTTAACTTAGGAAATTGATCCAACGTTTCCTTGATTTTTAAAATACTACAGTGGTTTTCAAAGCATTTCAATTGATCTAATAGTGACGAGGCTGTGCTTTCGTCAGACGTCTGTTGCACATTATCAGATAAAGGTCGGGCTATATTGAGGCTTTCAGTAATATTTACGAAGTGATTGTTCAACGTCTGTGCAGCTATTTTGCTGTCAGACAGGATTTCGTCGTTCTCTATCAGTATGATTTCATTTGCTTTTGCATTTTTATCATTTAATAAAGGCTGGATAGTTTTCCAGAATTTTTTATTATCGTTGACGAATTTAACATCTAAATTTTCGAAATATCATCTTTTAGTGCCTCTAATTAATTTAACACATCTATTTCTGACTTGTTTGTACCTCTCCCTATTAGAAACTGTTTTATTTTTGTTGAGCTCTCTTTTTGCCTTAGATCTCAGCATTATCAATTTTCTTATATCTTCATTCATGAAAGGCGCATTGTTTGCTCTTACTAATTTTTTCTTCAGAGGGGCATGTTTATCGAGAATTGAAATCAGAGTTTGATTGAAAACATCGTACGATACATTTTCTTTAGGTATTTTAGCTAAATTAAATTGAAGATCCTCGTTAAATTGATCGGTAGAAAAAGTTTTATAGCATCTGTATTAAATAGAAGTGGGATCAGATTTTACGAATTCAGTTTTTAGTACAGTATAGTTTAGCTTATGGTGGTCAGAAAAACCTGTCTCATATGTACCTGTATTTATATAGCTGTATTTCTTGTTTATTAAGATCAAGTCATAGCATTTAGGCGGGTTACTTTTGTAGCATGTTGGCTCTTTCATCAGATTATGTAGATCATAGTTTCCCATGAAATTTTCTATGTTAGAAGAACCAGGTTTCATATTAAAGTCCCTAAGTATTGGAATTCTTTCATAGCTTAGTGAATAGAAATCCAATAACTTACCTAATTCATCAAGAAAATAGATGCCGTTTTGGTTTGGAGGGTGATAGATTCCAATAATTATCCATTTTTGTTTTTTAAAATCAACTTCAACGAAAATAGTTTCTATATCATTTGCTGGGCTGAGATTTCTTAATTCTTTAGCTAGAATATTTTCATTCACATAAATTAGTAATCCTCCAGCTCCAATTTTTCCGTCACGTCTAAAGGGCTTCCTAAACCCCTCGACAGAAAACTGAGATGTTGGGAAGGATTCGTCTATTTTTGTTTCTGAGATAAGAAAAATATCTAATTTTTCTTTTATGATTTCCATAATACCAGAAAGTTTATTAGGAAGATAATTTGTGTTAAGGTGTCCTATAATTATTTTTATGTTAAGGTGTCCTATAATGCACGAAGAAAAGAAAGAGATGGTTTACATGTCTGCAATAACTTGAAAGTACCTGGATATGGGTGGGGTGGGCAGGGTCGCAAGATGGTTAAGAAATTGTTTTGAAAGATACCCTAGTCCTTGATGTTACCGGGTTCTTGAGCAAGGGCAAATTTTGTTTAGCCGATCTTGTTTGTTTACGTTTTGCCTATTCAGACGCTGCTGTTTATAGGTTGATTCAGTTCATGGCAATTTGACTTGTTCTAGATGTAGAATATACTATTTTAACAGAAAAACCCAACCCACCAATTTGTAAGCGACGAAAATAAACTTTTTCAGAAATACAAATTATTTCAAATTTGTTTTCGATGAATTTCGAAAAAATCGGTTCAAAAAAGGCTGCAAATCATTATCATAGTATCAGGTGTTTTTCTGGTCATGAGAAATGCGTCGGCAATGCAACAGTAGAAGAATACAGGCAAAAATTTCATTAGCAACGAAAATATGCTTCACTCCTTGTTACAACATGAAGTTTTCTGTTAAATTGCTTTGCGAAAGTGCAAATCTTTTGCAAAGCAATTTAATCTTTCGCGTATGAATTACAACAAAGAACATTCAATTTCAACCTGAGCGTTTAAACCAACGTATTCAGGTGTCTTTGCTATCTAAATCTTCTTTATAGCAGATTTTTCGCATTTTATAAAATCCTATAAAATAATGCAGTCAATATATTGAGATAGAATAAAATTTTGTCTTCAATTGGGATAAAGGGATAAGGGATGTAATGGATAAAGTTATGCTTCATTATTCAAGGTTTATCACATGCACAGGTCTTTAAGAAATTACTTTTGTGGTTTTTAGCATCCTTCATAGGCATTTATTGACAAGTGACATATTGACTGTAATGTTTTGTTCAGCGAAAGGATGCTAGGGCCCAGACCCTATATATATTGTTATGTTTGGAGAGTTATAAAAGTTACGTTCGAAGCACGCCGTAGTTTGAATCATCTACAATCTGCCTATTAGGCCACAGTAAACATAAATATAACATTGGCGACGAGGAAAAGTAATGTAACATTTACCGTGATCGGTAAATCATGGCTTCAGTTAGCATCGTTCCTAGCATGCCGCCCTTCGACCCAGATGCAGAGATTGGTGCTTCGGTAGGCCCGAGATGGAAAGTGTGGCTGCAAGATTTTGAAACATTTCTAGTAGCAAATGATATCACTGACAATAAACGTAAACGGGTTTTACTCCTCTATCAAGCTGGCTCAAGAGTGAGGGAAATATTTCGCCAATTATCCGATACAGGCGCTCCTGATGCATACCAAACTGCCGTAACCAAACTCACTGCCTACTTCGAGCCCCAAATGAACAGGCATTATGAAGTGTACAAATTTAGGCAGGCCGTACAACAACCAAATGCGACGTTGGATCAATTTCACGTTCGACTTCGTCATTTGGCACAAACTTGTGAGTTTTCTGATTCTTCACTTGATTTTGAAATACAGCTCCAAATCGTAATCGGGGGCAAATCCACAAGTTTGCGTAAACAAGCTCTCAAAGATCCTAAATACACCCTTAAAGATATGTTACTGGACGGCCGCAGAGCGGAAATTAGTACTTTTCAAACGGCAGATATCGAGGGTAAACAGTCAAGGGACAATTTACAAGCTATCAAACAGAAAAAGAGTTTCAGTAAACAACAAACTTCAGCACGAAAATGCAGAAATTGTGGTGGCAATTATTCACACAAATCGAAGCCATGCCCTGCAAAAGGTCAAAACTGTCATCGCTGCGGGAAGCAAAATCACTTCGCTAAGTTCTGTCTGAGCAAACAAGACACCCGCCAGTCTTCATTTACCACGTCTATATCGAAAATTCACCCGGTGTGCAAGTCAACAGATGTCGACAGCGAATCCAGCTCATCAAACTATTGTTATGCAATAGGGGGTTCAAGTAAAAAATCCTTAGAAACCCGGCTTAAAATCAAAGGACAACGCATCTCCTTCCTAGTGGACACTGGTGCGTCTATCAATATCATTGATAATGCAACTTTTAGTCAACTCAAGGGTATTTCATTACAACCCACAAACATAAAGCCTATGCCTACAACTCGCAAACGCCCGTGAAAATGAAGGGCAAATTTGAATCATTGGTGGAAACAAAGAAACGTTATGCCGTCGCAAAGTTCTATGTCACGGAAGACAATGGAGGCTGTTTACTTAACCCTATCCAGACTAGGCTTTTTGAAACTTTCGGGAGACTAGGGGGGGGCACAAAGTGCCCTCCCTCCGTAATTTCTTTGTCCCTCTAGCTAGGACAATGAACTTTGTTTGGATGGTACTCTTATCTCTTCTCCACATTTTAGTATTATTGTTCAATTTTTAAGTCACGTGGTTTTACGATGACGTCATCATAATGGTGGCCGGGTGAAGCAAAAATTTAGAAAATTTTAGAAAATTTTAAAATATTCATTAATTCCAAAGAATCGGGCTAAGATATTAAAATAAGCAAATTTGATGCATTTTCTAATAGAAACAAGAAGATTGACACAATTTTAATGTTACTTCTCAAAATTATTAACGTTCCTAACAAAAGAACTCAACATATTTTGTATTTGGCTATAGTTTTTTCTATATAACTAAATGATCGATACAACCAAATGTCATGTTTGAGTTCATTTTTAATGCCTTAGCAGACAAATTATTCTAAACTTGCAGTTTTATTAATATAATACCTATAAATATGTCAACAAATGTGTGCGCATGCGCAGCAGAAATATCAAAGAAAAGGATGTTGAAATTGAATTTTCTGGTCAGAATCATGAAAAGAGCACAAATTAATGCCTAGATACTAATTTTCATCAATATATCTACTTTTGTTGCGAATCCGTGGCAGATTGAACTATTTTTTTACTTGACTAGTTTTGAAAACGCCCCTACACAACCCCCTGATTAATAATAAAAAATTATCTCTTTATATGAACATGTGTCAGATAGGTTGAAACTAAAAGTCAGGAGGTCTGAGGGGTATTGCTTTGAAACTCCTGAAGTTATGAAAGAAAAACCAACTAGGGGGGCACTTTGTTCCCCCCCCCCCTATTCTGGATAGGGTTAACGCATCAACGGCCCAAGACCTTGGCTTAATTAGCTTGCATTTAAACCAAGTTCACCCACCAACTGGAAACATACAAAATAAAGATCTGAATGATATCGTTAATCAATATCCAGATGTTTTCAAAGGCCTTGGTAAAATGAAAGGAAAACAAATTGACTTAGTAATCGATTCAAAAGTCAAACCAATCGCACTAAAGTGCAGGAGAATTCTCTTTCATCTTCGAAAGAAAGTCGAGAGCGAGATTTCCAAACTATAGATCAGGACATAATTGAGCGCGTTCCGGAGAATGAACAAACTGATTGGGTTTTTCCTATTGTTTGCGTACCAAAGAAAAATGGGGATATCAGAATATGCATTGATATGAGAGCTGCAAACACAGCAGTTAAAAGAGTTCGTCATCCTATACCAACTGTGAAGGATATTTCTATCGATCTCAATGGTGCTACAGTGTTTTCAAAACTTGACTTAGCGCAAGCTTACCACTAGCTTGAACTTAGTCCAAGTAGTCGTCAGATAACTACTTTTATAACTTATATTGGTTTATTTCGATGCAAAAGACTTAATTTTGGAACTTCAAGTGCAAGTGAAATTTTTCAGCACACATACAGCTTGCCCTTCAAGGACTTAATGGCGTCAAAAACATCGCCGATGACATCATAATTTTTGGAAAAGATGTGAACGAACACAATGAAAACCTAAATGCATGTTTAAGACGATTGAAAGAATTTAACCTCACCTTGAACTTCGAAAAGTGTAAATTTTTAAAAGAGAATCTTGAATTTTTTGGATTTATCTTTTTAAAGAAGGAAAGCGCCCTGACCCGAAGAAAATCGCGGCGTTTGTAAATGCAGCAACGCCCACTACTTCCACGGAGGTACGCAGTCTATTGGGTATGTCAAACTATTGCTCTCAATTTATACCCGATTATGCAACGATTACAGAGCCTTTACGCAATCTAACAAAGAAAAACGCTCAGTTTAATTGGACAGAACGTTGTGAAGAGGCTTTCAACACGTTAAAAGATGTTCTCACGTCGAGTCCTGTCGTCAGCTACTTTGACATCGAAAAGGAAACTACAGTTATTGTTGACGCGAGTCCAGTCGGACTATCAGCCATTTTGTGCCAACGAAAGCCTGGACCAAAACATTGTCGCTTTTGCAAGTAGATCATTATCACCAGTCGAGCTACGCTACTCGCAAACAGAAAAGGAGGCACTCGCCATAGTATGGGGGATTGAACACTATCATTTATATCTATTTGGTTCCAAATTCACGTTAGTTACCGACCATAAACCGTTGGAAATTATCTATGCAAACCCTTGCTCCAAACCACCAGTGCGTATCGAACGCTGGATGCTGCGCTTACAACAATACGACTTTGAAGTTGTGTATAAATCAGGGATTGGAAACCCTGCCGATTATCTCTCACGTCATCCAACTTCAGCTGAATACAAGAAGCAAAATATAGCTGATGAATACGTCAATTTCGTCACCCAAGAAGCTGTTTTTCCTGCTCTTTCTTTGGGTGAAATCAAGGCTGCCACTGATAAAGATACTTTAAGAAACCCCACTTAGAATCAGATTCAAGCGTAAACATAAACATAAAGAGCGTAAACGCTGTAGGGTAAAAAGTACCACAGAGTGGTTCGCAAGAGTTAAGTTCTAGAGGACTGTATATATTCAGAATAAATGTAAGATAAATAGTTTGATAGTTTGACGAACGAGAGAAATATGGAAAGAAATCACCTGGTTGTCTTTAGAAATACCATAAAATCATCAGAAAAACAGTACAGCAAGAATGATTCGAATAAGATTTAATCTTCGTGAGAATGTCAATACAACGACGTTTCGCAAGAGTTTTTTCGAATGAACGTTTTCAATAGTGTGTAGATACGTCTGTGCGCTAGCTTTTAGACAATAATAATAAGTTCCAATTTGCCACACCTATCAATATCGTAGCCTCGTTTTCATGGTTCGCTCACAGATACAACATTGCGGTGTCTACGAGCAGCTATCAGGAGTAATTGTTGGAACGGTGATATCTTACAACCATTTCGCGCAATAAAACATGAGATATCCGTTGATCTCACCAACAATATTCTGCTGAGGGGAACTAGAATCATAATACCTGAGTCACTTCAAAGACACGTCATCAAAATCGCCCATGAAGGACATCAAGGTACAGCTAAAACCAAACCACTTCTTCGCGAGTACGTGTGGTTCCCTAAGCTCGAAAACTTTGTTAATGAAGAGATAGCCGACTGTTTAGCATGCCAAGCTACAGGTGCGCCAAATGCACAAGAACCACTCAAGTCACCACCTTTGCCCGAAAGACCATGGCAAGAACTTAAAGTTGATTTTTATGGACCATTGCCAACAGGACAGTATCTGTTTGTCGTTATTGATACATATTCGAGATTTCCAGAGGTCGATATTGTTCCGTCAACATCAGCAAGTGCAATCATACCAAAGCTGGGTGCTATTTTTGCACGTCATGGTATGCCTGATAAATTGAAGTCTGATAACGGCCCACCATTTTTCGGAAATGAATTTCACCGGTACATGAAAGCATTAGGTATACGTCAGACAACATATACGCTTTTATGGCCACAAGGAAACTCTGAAGTGGAATCTTTCATGAAACCCCTTGGAAAGTCGATTTGCACCGCCATTCTTGAAAAACGACAATGGCAACAAGAGCTTCACAAATTCCTTCTGAATTACAGAATCACACCACATACCACAACGAAAGTTCCGCCAGCACAGTTATTATACAATCGACCTGTTAAAGGAAAGCTGCCCATGCTACCAAGAAAGCACAAGAACATAAGCAGACATCGTGAAGCGAGGGAGAATGATCAGCTAAGAAAGGAAAATGCGATGAACTATGCTAATAAACGCAGAAACACGAAAGAATGCGATATTAAAGTAGGTGACCTGGTTATCTGTATGCAAAAGAAAACGAACAAGTTCTCATCTAGATTTAACGTGCAACCTTACAAAGTCGTTCGTGTTTATGGATCAAAGGTTGTTGCTAGACACGGAGATCACTTCATTTCCCGTAACTCTTCATTCTTCAAAAAGGTCCAACAAAGACTTGACGGTAACATTGCTAATGGTAGGCCGCGAGCATGGTGTATTCGATTTGGTCTGTGATGCAGGCTACACCATGCTCGCGCGCTGCTGGCAGAATGACAAACAAAAGCCCATCGATGGCAGTTGACAGAATTTGTCACTTCAGAATGACTGTCCTATTGTGAACGGAAATGTGCGCGCCACGCCAAGGTAGCAAAGGTCAAGGTGACATTTCCGCCCTTTTGCCTCCAGGCCGAGTGCTTGAGTTTATTCCGACGGTTTGCTGGCATGAAAAGAGATCTTCGAAGAATTTTCTCTACTTTTAGAAATAAACATGGCAGAACACAGAGCGAGAAAATTTAATAGTGGTTCGATCAAAAGGTAATTCGTTTCCTCATCTTACTTCGAAATTTCTGGCATCTGAGTTGCCTTCAGGGTCTTTAAGCAGAATAGAGATTCTATGGCCTTTATTCAACCTTGATTTTATCGAAAACCTGCCTAAACAAACGAACTAAAGACTATTTTTGAAAATTATGATAGCATATATAAAATGTTAATGATCTAAATGTTTAAACAAGATTCAAGAAATCGACCGATAGCTGTTGCATTTTTAACTCCCCGCCTGGTTTGGCGGGCACCTGATTGATTATAGGTCTCCAGTTATCAAGTTATTTCCTGCAATTCTTTTCATAGTTCTGGCTCACAACCCCTGCATGAAAGTACCTGAAAGCAAGCAGATTTCAGCGGAAAATAGATAGAAAGAGGGTAAGTTTTCTTAAGTTCCTCAAATGACGATTATATTCTGTTTTAAAAGTAAGAGCGCGCTAAAGTTGGCTCTTGTTTAAAGGCTAGGTCTTGTTTGTACATTTGAAATTTTATGAAGGGTCAGTAGAAAAGAATTTCACATTGGAAAATTCATCCAAGTTAGCTACTGCCCAAACTCCAATTTACAACTGATTTTATTATAACACTGTTAATCTGAATTAAGATTTACTTTTAACATGCTTTTAACGATTTACTCTTCAAATTTTAATTTTCAGATTTGGGCAGCAGGATAATGTCATTGTCAGTGATCAGCTTTGTGGTGATGTATTCAAGCACACAAGACGAAGAGGACCATGGAGATGTTCTCAAGATCAAACCCCCCTATTGGAGACCAAAGCTCTGCATCATCTCATTGGTTTAATTGATGAGAGTATGAGGCAAAAAATTGCGGAAGAAGGCAAACAGATTTGAAAGAAGAAAAGAGTTCTCCAATGAAGAGAATGCCATCAAAAGGGCGAAAACAAAAACATTTGTAAAAGAGGACTACGATGATTGAAAGTAGGTAGAGGATTTCAACAAAGTACGTTCACAAAAATTATTGTGTGTATCCATAACGTAGATGGACTGAAAATGTATTACCAGATAAATTACGTTATGTCTGATACGAGAGTCACGATAGAATACTTTACTAGCTGAGTAATCTTGAAAAATTATGTTTTTCTTTAATATCCATTTTCTAAATATGCGCTATTAAAGCAGCCATTTCATTTTCCACCTGAGTATATGAATCTCCATCCCCTCCACTTTTTCTAACGAATATAAACGGTTATAATAAGAACTTAATCAAATAGGTTTATTCCATAAGTTTATTTTTAATAGTTTCATCTATTAGTGTTGACTTATCTTAACTTGGCAATTACAGTCCATACATGTCATGTCAGTCCACTCTTCTTATCTGTAGCTGTATAAAATATGAACTTATTTTATTGTTAGTAGCATTATTGGTGTCTTCACCATTAAATGTTCTGATAATTTTCATGGAAATGAATTTGATATATCTTCTTTGAAATTTACCTGATATTTTCTCAACTTGCCGATCTTTTTCGCGTGGTTTTATTCAGGAAAACAGCTTTAAAATTTTAAAACATCAATGTTTATAAGATAAAGGTGAAATTTCTGAGCCGTTTCCAAAGGTAAAAAAAGAATGATAGGGTTTTTCGGAAACTCAGACCTATACAGTATTATTTGCATTAAAAAGATAGATTTCTAAGCCGTTTCCGTAGGTAAGAAATTAGAATTTCTTGGAAATTTCAATTTATTCTGTATCATTTGCCTGTAAAAAAGTTAAATTTCAGAGATTTTCTGTAAGTAAGAAACTGGGGTTTCTTGGAAACGTAAATTTATTCTGTAAAAATGGCATAGGAGATGTTAGATTTCTTATCGCTTCCGTTGTAAGAAATGCCAACGTTTCTGATGTGGCACTTGGTGGAAACGGAAATGTACCTTTCTGCTGATTTATGATGTCGGAAACTGCTTCAGAAATCCTAAGTTTCTTACAAGTTTTTTTTGGTGAGATTGGTAGAAACTGTTCGTTTCTGAGTAATTTCTGAGTAAAGGGTAACAACCGCAAGATGAGAAAATGAAGTTATTAAAAAGTAACTAGCATAGATGTCAAATTATAAGAACAATATGTAATAAATTTAAGCTAATCAAGATCAGCGAGATTTTGATTAAGTCGTAGTGAAGTGAGTTGAGATCATAAAGGATTTGGAATTTAGAATTCGCTTTGATAATATGTGTACTGCAGCCGGTTAGTTTTACTTTATGCAATATTCCATAAACACAAAATCTTGTTATTATCTGTTCAAATCTTGGGAAAGATTAGTATCAAAATCCTGGCAAGTTTTGGAATGCAAAGTTGAATCCCGTTACATGAGGCCTTTAAGTGTGTTAAGGAAATATCTAGTCGAGTTTGGGGAATAATGAAACTGGATGAAATTATAGTCTGGGCTCTTAGCACAGTATTTGACATGAATTGTGCAAATTGTGATACCAACATGAAAATGGGTACACTGGGGTAATTTCACACGCTGGTGACGATGCCGAACATACCTATGCCGAAAAATGCTATTTTTAGACTGGGATACTTGGCCCCAGTCCTCGAAATGGGCCAATCTCCATATGTCATTACTGATTTATGAAAAAGTGGGAAAGGAAAGATTTAGGTACATTATCATATATTAAAATACATTAAGAGAAAAGGAAAAGGAAAATTGCCCCTTTATGCTATTTTTAGAATATGAAATTGGTACCCATGTCTCTATTTAGGCAATCTTCTCTAAATAATTACTCTCTTTTATATGAATATGATATGTAGCTTTCTCCGTTCTTTCAACTAACTGAAAAGTAATACGAAAAAATGTAATTGACAATCTTACCACTTGATGCTATTTTTAGAATGGGGTACTGGAATCCAGTTCTCGAAATTGGGTTTTACCTACATAGTCTAGGCTCTAAGCACAATATTTGACATGAATTGTGCAACTTGTGATACAAGCATGAAAATGGGTACACTGGGGCAATTTGACACGTTGATAATGATGCTGAACAGACACAGGCTGAAAAGTGCCGCAAGTGCTATTTGTAGACAGTCCTCAATTTTGGATTTCATCCATACGTAGTTAACTAAACTTTAAATGGGGCATGAAGGTATGGGATCGGTCCCAAAAAATTATGTGTTTACACGGGATCGATCCCAGATCGGCCCTTAGGGAGGAACGCACATGCGTATTGCTTATGTCATTAGCAACTTGAATGCATGAAGTGGTAACAAAATGTTTATTTGGAGCGACAAATAAATGGCCCTACTTCGGAAGATCACGCTGGAGTACAAAACTTCAAAGTTTGCCGATGGCCAGGACTGGGAGACTATAAGTATGAAGGCATCTATAAAAATTTATGGCGGCCTACCCAAATGAGGAGGAAGAGGGTGATGCGTTTCCAACAGGCGACGCTGCCTCAATCTATATCGAGAATAAATCATTCCCATAAGTTGTTCGCTAAATTTGTCAATAAAGTTTTAAAAAAATTCCTCTATATTATTTTGTTTTTCACTTCTGGTGGGCGAGAAACGAGAATGCGCGCAAAATCTGATAGAAAAAAGCTCGAAGCACCATACTCAAAGCACCTCCAATTGGATAATTTATTGGCCTCGTTTCCTATCAGTGCCAATTTAGGATCGATCCCACCTTTTCGAGCGTTTACAGGAGACGGGATCGATCCCAAACTGGAACGCTTTCCAAAGCGAACCCAAATCAGCACGGATAGCCGATCGATCCCGAGAGTTCCCGTGTAAACGGAAGGCCGATCCGTACCAATTTGGGATCAATCCCGGCCTGGATTGATCCCGTGTAAACGGGATCCTTCTCCCTGTCATCATAATATCGTAAAGTTTACTCTGTCAACGTGTCCATCAGCCTTTGGCATTTTTGCTTCTTCTTTTGATTCGCTCTCTTATATGCTAAAAGACCTATAATTTAATAAAACTCTCTAGAGCCGGCTTTTGTCAAGAATCATGAACATATCAATACGCTGCATTTATTTTGTAAAAAAACAAACCTTGACCTGATCCCAATTTTATGGACTTCTAACGCGTTCTCACTATAATGTTTAATGTAACTGTCATTTTAGGTCCATTTTGTTACTTGCTATTCGAAAGATCAGTCGCTAATTATACACTGGTAAAAGTGAGGTGTAGAATTGTTTTTCTTTAAAGATATATTGAAGGAAAAGAGTCATAGTAATAAAAATAATAATTATTATTTATCTTTGAACATGGTAGATATACTGGAGGACATAACTATGTTCTTTTATTTCTTGCTAAAGCATTTTCAATTTACAACAAAGTTGCTTATACGTCTATCTGCCCACATTTTCCTCTCTCACATCAATTGCTTGAGATTCACCGAGTCCTGATCTTGTCTGGAATGCTAACAATAGCATTCTCTATCTTCTTGAGTTATCATTGTACAACAAACATTGCAGACATTGTACAACATACTAAAATGTTGTAAAATATATAAACATTTTCCAGGTAATTGGCAGAGCCCGGTCGACTTTTCATCTAGCAGTTTTAGAATCGATCTACGGTGGAATCCTGATTTAACGAACCCCGGATATAACGAACGTCCAATTATAACGAACTAAATGTCTGGTTTCTTGGATTCTGCCTAACAAACTCTTTACTAATTCTCTCGGTATAACAAACCCCGGATATAACGAACTCTCGATATTGCGTACCAAATTTTGGTTCCCTTCATCATAATTACCTTCCATATAAGGAACTTTTCATGATTTTTTCATCTGTTATTTCTATCTATTTATTTCTGATGTTTATTGCCCGCAACTCGCGCGCGACAGCGCGCGAGTGAAGGGCTTATAGTCTTTCCCGCGTATAAGTAGCATATGGAAGCTTCAGTTCATGTTCTCAGCACTTTGTCAGCAGATTTTGTCACTTTTTTGCTGTCATGACAACTGTCAATCAATTTCATTGTCAATCAATCGGCTTTGTCGAGGAGGTCGTTAACCGCCACCTCTTTGCGCGGAAGGGAATTATCTTCGGAGCGTTGCTCTGCCAAGACTCTGTTAAAGGCCTTTGGTTTTTTGGCACGAAAACGGTGCTGCATCACAGCTCGGTTCTCAGCAAGGGATGGAAATTTTGATTCGAAGTTTTGGGAATCAAAACCAGTCGAATGCCACACCTTTTATCCCAAAAAGTCGAGATCGTACGAGCAAAAGTTATGATTGTCGTGATTATCGCCTGTACATCGCGCTGTACGAATCCTTTATCGCAATCGATTTTAGCTGTACCCGTTTTATCACGTGTCCATTTTCATACGTCTTTGTTTACTTCACGAAAACGAAAAATAAATGTCAAACCCTCAAAAAACTTCATGATTTTCAAAAGGGCGTTGAACTTAAATCAAAGGCAAACTGAACACCAAAAATTCTTGATAAAAATAATGGTTTAGCATCAACTAGGGCAGCTGTTTTTATAAAATTGTGAAAACCCAAGATGGTGTCTTCTTCGAATATCCTGACCTAAATTTTCAAAACAATCATTTACAAGGAACTAATTGTTTGCGGGCAGTACTAGCAAGAGCTATTTCTAGTTTATATCACTTTATTTTGGGGGAAATCGTTATTGTCATCGGCAAAACATGCTGATAGACTCAGTGCATGAGATGATAGTTTGATTGCGTCAGAAATTACTGTGAATGAGTACACTGACACTAACAACGAATACCTTGTTACATTTGAGACACTGCCCGAAATGAACTCATGCCGGTGTCATATGCGTTTCGGTAACCTTATGCATTTCGGTTCGGGTACACAAACGCATGACAATTTTGGTTATGGAACAACGTACCCAAGCACTTAAACAACAGGGTACCAAAACCAATGTTGGAATTTAGGATCTGAACCGGTCCGGGTACACAAATGTTCTGGGTCATATTGTTCGGAATGTAAAGAGCAATTGAACTATTTTTCTAAAAGGGGTGCAAATTGTTGTTTTTGAGACTCTATCGACGTGTTCACTGCGAAACATGCAACTATCTAAACTCTACGTGACGCGTGCTAAAAAGTTCTACCTCAGCGATCATTAGAACTTTCTAGAAGCTTTTAATTAGCTGACAAAAGAGCAGCAAGCAATCTACTCTAACAACGCGTCCTATACTAGCTACTAATTACGAAGGTCATTAGTTTACTTTCAAAAGCAGCAATTACGTAACTGTTGAGTGCACGTTCCCAACACTCCCACTCAATCAACAGTTTCTTTTCAGGTTTTATTGCATTCCGAGCTTGCAGCGTAGGTACTCAAATTGACCTCTGTTCAGTGATTTAGTGAGTAAGTCAGCCAGCATTTCTTTCGTGTCGCAATATTTTAGTAGCAGAGTCCCTTTCTCTACTTGTTCTCGAACAAAATGATACCTTATGTCGATGTGTTTCGTCCGTTTATGTCCGACTGGATTTTTTGTCATCGAAATTGTCTCCTATTTCTCTAAACAGTTGCTTCAGCCATACGACCTCTTGGGCAGCTTTACTTAAGGCAATGTACTCTGCCT